CTAAGTTTCCCTTGAACGGTGTCACATTTTTACACACTGTGGAAATGTTTGGTGTCCACAGAAGCAAGGCGTGTCTGTAATCTGTGTAAAGGTCGGGTCAGGAGCACATCTCAGAGCTCTCTCTCTCTCTGAAACCAGTGCCCTGTTTGTCAGGACCAGGCTGTTCCATCTGCCTCCTGCTGTCCTCTCAGCACAGCATGCTCCATCAGCAGCGCCTATAGATTAAAGAAGACATATTGTGTGTTTTCCTACTTAGTGTAGAAAAACAATAAGCAAAGATTGTCATTGCACATTTGAACACTGCAAACTGCTATACTGATTTAAAATGGCTTAATAATAGAAGAAATGGGACAAATTTCTTCCTGTTCAAACCTGCAGAGCTGTGAGGCCCTGCCTCTGCAGAGGGGAGCCCTATGTGTGAGTATAATAGCATTCAAGTATAGGGCTCTGGGCAGTGGAGGAGGTTAGTAAAAATGGAAAACATGAAAGTCCATTTTATGTATTATGCAACCTCACAATGAGATCAACCCTGGTTTAGATTTCTTGGCTTTTCATAAAATCAGTATATTATTATTATTGTTAAAATCACACCTATGAATAAAAGCACTGGAGAGAATAAACAAACATAAACTGGAGAGAATAAACAAATATAAACAGATAAGTGTAGACTAGACGAATGACTGGTTAAACGAATTAACCATATGTGGAATTTAGACCCTAAAAGTTATAGCAAGGATCAGAAAAATACCCTGTGGCAGCTGTACTTCATATAATATTACACCTTGGACCTAGATAGTTTTGGTGATAAAGAGAAGATGGAGAGGCTGAGGTGGCTGTAGGTCTTGCTGCTGTGGTGGCAATGGAATTGAAGTGGTATTCAACATGTATGATGGCTTGGTAGTTAGTGTAATGGTGATTATTTATTTATTTATTTTTTTTAGTATATTGTCTCTTTTCCCTTCTCAAAGATAAAATTTACTACAATAAAAACACAAATCAAATCTGCACCCTTGTTTGGACTCAGTACCATATATTGGACAGTAGCCAGTGGCTTTGTCATTGGCTTTGTAAAGTCAACACACCCTCCTGTCCCAGCGTCACAGCCCCCAAAAGCTTTAGAAAAGGGAAGGGAGACTACATATAAGAGCACTGGTAGGGGTTGGGTGAGGCCTGACTTGTGATTGACAGCTATCAGTGTAATATAAATTGAAAATGCACTGCACATAAAAATGACAAGATTTTAAATTAAATAAAAATAACAAGATTTTAGGTTCCAAAGGTGGTCATCTGGAAGGTTTTTTTTTTTTTTTTTTGTTTTATCATTGTCTAGATGACTATAACTTTGAAATGATGGTTTAATTATGATTTTTGATAACTGACCTAGCAAAAGACCTATGATTATGATTATGATTTTGAATGATTTGAGATGAAGCTAAACGATGCTCTTGAGGACATTCTAATGACATATACAATGATATAATGTATATAGTTTTTTACATGATCATCTCATCACAAAGCATGTTTTGGTGCCTGTGTATTGTTCATATAGCAGTTATCCAATTACCATTAAATTTAACCTATTAAAACCTTTTCAAATCTGAGGGGGCTGATGAGGGCCCCTTCTGTTTGTTCAGTTTCCAAAGGGAGCTATCAATCTCATGGACATGTAAAACATTAATGGAAATCTCTAACCTACTTATTATCATTAAATCAACCACTCTGAGAAAAATCTGGACCAGTTTGTGATCCAAACCTACAAATTAAAAAATTAAACTTTTATTTGCCTAATTACAAGTCAGTAAATCTCATGTTTAGTGAGATATGCTTCAGCTTTGACATGGGAGTTATCAAGACCCAAAGTGCTCCAAAATGTTCAGGAACAGATTCAGTTTGAATGGAGACATTTTAATAAGACAGTTTAGGAAAATAGGTCATAATAGTAAGGGGCTTTAGTTGATTATTATCTCAATAATCAATTAGTTACAATTAATCAATGAACCCTATACACTGAACCCTTTCCCACCATAAACCACTCCTGAGATGAGGGATTACATCATCTTGACTTGAGATAAATCATTAATTGTATCCCTGCTCATCCAATTAGGCCAGTATGTAGCCTATATCTACTGTAGATTTACCAATTTGGCTTCCTCATTTTTCAGTGTTCAGTCATGTGAAACTAGTAGGTATACTGGCACACTGAATAATTTCTCGATTATATTATAGTCATACTCGTGATAGACCCTCTGTCAAACCAGTTTCTTAGGTTACATACAGTAGTACCTATGTGTCTAAATCTGGCAGTGCGTGTGTGCAACAAATAGGAGCTGATCAGTGAGTGCTTGGCACTCTCAAAGCAGCAGAGGTATGCCCGTGGTGCCTCTCTATTGCTCTATTTCTGTCGCTGTGTCTTCATGCCTAACCAGCCCTACCACACCGCATCGAGACTACTGGATAACTCTAATTGGGTTGACTCCCGATCACATGCACTCTGATCCCATTTCTGCACCCACTCACCTCCCCTTCTTCCCCTCTTCCCCATCTTTATAACTCCCACCCATAACCCCTCAGCTCCCCTCTCACCCATCACCAGGGAGCAGGGGTAACAAGAGCCGCTCTGAAGGCACGCATGCACACTACTGTTGGTACTGATTGAGATAAAACAGAAGTGTATAGGAGGAATAGGAGGGGAGCGGTGTTAAGGACGTGCACTGGTTTTCTTATGGGACCGTCCTGACGCCGCCTACGCCCCGTTGCTCCGCAGCAGCGCACGGGTTTGTTTATCCACCAGCTGATATAGAAAGAACTGACTGATAGCAACAACTGCACTGCCCGGGGGAACACTGAATCACACTTTATTTTAGGAAGCTATTGAATTTTATATCAGAGGGCTGGTTGAAATGAGTAGTAATAAAAGATAATGGTTGTATATTATGAAGCCTTATGGCAATTGTGTAGCCTTAAGTCAATAACAAGAAGTTATATTAAAAAGCAGACATGCTTATTAGTAGAAATTGCATGCTAACACTGATACCCTGTGGTGAAAGGTAACAAAGTACAAAAGTAAAAGTACAGTCTTTAGGTATCTGTACTTTACTTAAAAGTGCATTGTGTAACTTTTCTGGTGGGGAGTTCATCAAATGCTTTGCTCCATTGGGATGTTATTTTCTGGAATGTTTCATAGTATAGCATTAAGCCATTCGATCTTCATGGAGACCAAACCAGACCAAGTTACAGGTCAAATCTGTGGAGAGGCAACCCCGCTCATTGTCAAAATGCCTGTTTTTCTAGGTATTTTTGAGCTATAAAACCACATGTACACCAAATATACAAAAAAGCGAGAAAGACTAAGAAATCAATTAAATAACTTAAAAATAATCACATTACATTTGATGCTTTAATTGCTCAAAAACAAATTGCTACAAATTGCTAAATACTTTTACTTTTTACTCTTACAGTACATTTTTAAACAAGTACTTCACAGTTTTACTTATGTAGATTTTCTTTGTGTGATACTTTTACTTTTGCTTGAGTAATATTTTGCACCTGTATCTGTACATTTACTTAAGTAACAACATTGAATACTACCACCACTGCTGATCCCATACTACAACTATCCAGTGATAGTTGGCATGGACTGTTATTAAATTTTCATGTTGTTCCTGTCATCAAATACTAATTTAGGAACTCACAAAGTTTAAGGAAAGGAATCTGGCAGTTTAATTTATATGTATAGATTGAAGTTTTGTTTTTCAGTTCCCCAGCCATCACATTCTATAGATTGGAGAAAGTGCTAGGTCTTCAAGAAAAGGTTTCGGTCAATACTTCACAAATAAGGAGGAGAACAACTTTGGACATGTGGCCCCAAAAAACCCTGCCCTTATATAATACTTGACAATTAAGTAAAGTTTAAGCACAGAATCATATGGAGCAACATTTTGTCTTCCGGTAATTTGAGCTCTATTAGCAGATTTCATTTGCATAGTGTTTATAAATGGCATCGCCTGAGTAAATGTTTTCCGTATGAGGTTGAATGGCAACATTGCGCCTGGCTTCTAATAGCTTCACAGCTTCAGAACAACCTCAATGGATCTACAAACAGCAGGGCTACCGGTGAGTTTGGAAGAAGACTCAACTTTGAATTAAATATCAATCTTAAAAAATAACAACAATAATAACAATAAAGACTGTGCAATCGCAAACACCAAGGATTTCAGTTAATGGCTGTAAATAATGGTGTTGTTTCTCACAGTGCACTGGAATTTATTGCAAAAATACTCAGTAATGCAAATTATTTTCCAAGAACTCAGCATCACAGTTTACTCTAATATTCTGCAAGGGTCCATATACCAGACAGTAACACTAATAGCTCATTAAAAATAAAGGTTAGTAATTTGTTAATAGCCACCCTATACTCTCCTAATTATGTATCCCTTAATAAAGTAGTTATTAATCTTGATACAATCTTGAAAATGTTTTCATTATGAATTCATCTTTATGCATTAAGGCTAATTAAAGTGTAGTTATTATAAAGTGGCAAGCCAGTCAGTCCCCCCAAAAAACTTTTAAAAATATTTGGGAGAGAATCCAACACTTCACTTACTAAACCATGCACACTGGGTGACAGAAGAAACCCAGAGGACGACGTGATGTTTATTCTGCTCCACTTTGTTATTTCAAATCCATTCAAAGTTATAATTTCATTCGCAGACAGTTGGAAAGTTAGCCGTAGTGTGGGGTGTGTTTTTGTGAGGTGGAAGTTCTTGTGAGTGTGCAAACCCAGCCCAGACAGCTCCATGTGAAATGTGACACAAGGCTGGTTCTTCTTTAAGGCATGCCTTGCTCTGATTGTGTGTCTCTGCATGTGTGTACATTTGTGAAGTGTGTGTTAGCTCACAGTGTGTGTGTGTGTGTGTGTGTGTGTGTGTGTGTGTGTGTGTGTGTGTGTGTGTGTGTGTGTGTGTGTGTGTGTGTAGTTGGACACTGGGCCTTCCCCAGTCCTGCCCGGGCCGTCCTGCAGCAGCTGTCCTCTGGCATGTCACTGGGAGCGTCATTGCTTGTACAGAGAACCACGGTGAAGAGAACAGGCTAGGGTGTCCCATTCAGAATACTAGCACTGTCCCAGGACCACCGAGCGCCCCTGGAAGCACCATAACCCCACCATGGCGGATCAGTACCAATACAACGCCAATGAGGAGAAGATCAGGAAGGACAGCCACACAAAGGAGATCGACTTGATAAACAGGGATCCGAAGCAAATCAATGAAGATGTAGTTAAGGTCTGTGTTTTTTTAAGAATTGACTTGGATACCTGTGCGTGCATGTCCTCAAAGTAGACAGGAAAATGGGGCAGTAGACATAAGCAATGTGCCCAAAATAGACCAGAAGGCTATTTGTGTGCAGAGCATTGGGTTGTATTGCTGCTGCTAGAACTGGCTGAAACCAACACCGCTCACTATAATGTTAATTTAGGACTGACAACAGTTTATTTTGCTTGTTGCTATGTTGTAATACTCCAAGGGCAAAACTGCATGTAAATGAGTTTCAAAGAAAAATCTATTAAAACGTACAGTGAGATAGTGACTGTGACGCGGCCATTAATCTATTGAATATTGATGCTGATATGTTTTGCATGAATTTACACATACTCCAATCAATGAGACCAGTTCTGTAACCATCTGTAACCCTGAGACCTTTATTCAATGTTTTGTGGATCAATTAAAAGCTGCTATGAGTCAGCCACAAATCCTGCCCTAAATTAGTTAGATAATATTCCAGTTTAATAGAAGAGAAAAGGCAAAGTCGCAGGATGACTTGTGAAAGCAAATAAGCAGACCATGCACACTCATTCATTCCAAGGATCAGCCCTACACTGAAATGGATACATGAAAAATCTGCTTGTGGTGGTGCTGTCCATACTGATGCAGTCCAGTGGTGTGTGAACAAACAACATGTTTTGTAAGTGCTGCACCATGGAGTTAATTAACAGTCCTTCAGCAGTGGGCGCATGGTAGACAGGTGAATACAATGTACTGCTTTAAGTGGGAATACATAATGCATTTTCATGAGGGAAAGTCTAAAATGTGACCTTTTAAACATACACTCCCTTACTTTTTCTGGTATAGGGCCATCTTTGTGTCTCCAAGGAAATTAAAAACTTTTTGTTCAATGATAAGTGTTTCTATTGCAATAAACATGCTTTCAGACTGTGGGCAGGGTCACCTTTCCACTGATTGGACCAGTAAATTGCCCATTTGGTGTAATCTGCTTGTCTCAATGAAGATACATGTGTGGAACATTCCAGGAAAAGCACTGACATCTCTATGGAGACAAGCAGATGACAGATCCTCCACCAGAAAAGTTCCACAGAGCACCCCTCCTTTATGTCACTGATGATATGTTCTGTGAATAAATTTAGTCCCGGTCCCCCTAGACCTGAGCCAACAGTTTTCTCCTCACATTGTCACGCACCTATTAGCAGCAGTGGAAGCCTCCACACGTCTAGTACAGGCAACACAAAGCAGACAGCACACCTAAAAGCATGCATAATAATAACCCGGACTGTTTAACATTCCTCTCAGGTGGAGTTCGAGGATGTCATAGCGGAGCCTGATGGAACCCACAGTCTGGATGGGGTCTGGAAACTCAGCTACACCACCTTCACTGTATCCAAGTACTGGTGTTACCGTATCCTGTCAGCCATCTTTGGGATCCCTGTAGCACTTCTGTGGGGCTTCCTGTTCGCGTGTATCTCCTTCTGCCACATCTGGGCTGTGGTCCCTTGCATTAAGAGCTGCCTGATAGAGTCCCAGTGTATTAGTCGAATCTACTCACTGTGCATCCAAACTTTCTGTGATCCGTTCTTTGAGGCATTGGGGAAGATCTTCGGCAGTGTGCGTGTGGCATTGAGAAAAGAGGTTTAGTGTTGATATATGTTTTTACGTATAGCAGTAGAAGAAGAAGTTACTGGCGTTTTTCCTACCCCTCACTCCCCAGTATATACCCCCACCTTCTTGTTGGCCTCCAGAAGTTCAGTGACAGCTGCAGCCTGGGCGTGGTACACTGACTGATCTGGGCCGCTAAGGGATAAGAGGCCCACTCACCACCTCCCTGCCTCTGGCTCAAGCAGACTTTTATGGCTATAGTTCCCACTAAATGATATGGACATCCCTGTGGACATCTGTGACATTTGGCCTTTCTAAACTAGAATAAATGCTGGAATCATTTTATATTTTTAGTAGAAAGAAGATAGGAAATTGCTTCGTTTTATCAGGCTAATGTGTGTTCTGACAGAAAATATTGTAGAAAATATTGTTAGGATTGCATATCTAGAGTGAGTGCCCTTTTGTTAATATGTTTTAAACTAAAGGTATATAATATTTGAACCCAAAAGTGTTATTTTTAGACCCCTTTTTATAACTTGTCATCATAAATTGTCATGTGTAACTCAGGGGAGCATGTAGATCACCTTTTGAGCTGCCTGTTAGACAGAATTGACTGAAAAGTTTTGAAAATTAATCACAAAACACCATCTGGTTTGGTCGTCTAATGGATTGTTGCTATGACTAAACAGCAAAGCCTTTGAAGCAGTATCATCTGGCTGCTAGCTTGCTTTAATCATCTGATAATAATACTACTTTATAATTAATAGTTTTAAGTCAGATGCTCTACCAGACAACTCACTTAGCTATGCTTGGAACTTGCAAGTGGCGCCTACACTATATACGTTTGTGTAAATAAAAAGTGAATAAATGGACTACGCATAGCCACCAACCCACTAGAGGCCGCTGTTGTTTCCTTCACCAAACTGACAAGATTTTTTTTTTCTATTGAAGTTCCAATCTTCCAAGATAAAAATAGAGATAAAAATAAAGCTTTTCCAACTGTCCAAAGCATTTTTCCAGCAGAGTGGTGCATAAACCTGATTTATTGAACATGTGTTTAAATTTTGTTGAGTTCCTTTAATATTGGCTGTCTCACTATATCGCAGTCAAGTCTTGAGAGGCATTGCCTTCAAATTGCTCCTCAAATTGTTTATTGACACCCACATACTTCATATTGATATTTATCTTCAACTGCAAATGCGCAGTAAAGTAAGGAATCTCTGAACTCCTGAAGAACACGCATTGAATATGTATGTAATGAAATGATTTATGCAATATCTGACATGCAGGTAGACATGAATAAAACATGTCCTCATATCTACTGGGTCTAATGTAATTTATTAAGAATGAAGTGATTGAATGTACAACTTTGCCTACTGTGTTCACTTTGAATACCAGACAGGAGATAGATCTTGTCCACCATGTCTCTATCTCTGCAAATGGCCAGAATAAAGCACTGACTCTTTTTATTACAAGAATGAAAAGTTGAAGGAGAAAAACTTGACATGTCCAGAGATTGGATTTAAAAGGGGGTCACAGTTGGAGGAGAGTTCTAACCAAGTAAAGTTACAAATGGAAAACCAGCAGGTGTCTGGCATTTTGGAACATTTTGAGAAGAACAATTTTGAATAAAAATGGCCATAAATAAAAAAGGTGCATTGTGTAAGTTTTCTAGTGGAGGGTCCGTCAAATGCTCTTCTCCATGGAGATGTTATTACTTTGTCTGGAATGTTTCACAGTATGGTATTAAACCTTTCTATCATTATGGAGACTAAACCAGGCCAAGTTACAGGTCAGATCTGTGGAGAGACAACCCCGCTCACAGTTAGAATGTTGTTTTTCTGGGGATTTTTGAGCTATAAAACCACCTGTAATTGAATAAATGTAAGGTAGAGCTGTTTAATGTCATACTGTGAAACTTTCAAGGCAGAGCAGTGACATCCATAAAAACAAACAGGTGAGACACCCACTACCAACATGTTACCCAATGCACCTTTAATGCTAACTTTTAGAAAAGCTTTAAAGGTGCATTGTGCAAATTTTCTGGTGGAGGGTCCATCACCTGCTTTTCTCTATGAAGACAAGAGCAGGAGTAACTGCTTTGTCTAGCTCAGGGGTGGGCAAACTACAGTCTGGGGACCATATGTGGCCCTTTAATCGTTTTAATCCGGTCCGCCAAACTTGAATAATAACAATAATAATAATCATCATTTTCAGTGTTTTAAAAGTCATTTTAATAAATAGTAAATATCTTGGGACTTGAAAGACAGATATTTTGTTGTAATGCTCTGTAATGATTTTCAATTAAGGGATATTTCAATAAATGTTTTCTACTTATCCCATGTTATTTTTTTCTCTTATGAGATGCATTTCCAAAAAACTCCATCCACTGCTCCTGGTCCGGTCCTTCAGTCAAATTTTAGAACCTTCTGTGGGCCACGAGTCAAAAAGTTTGCCCACCTCCGGTCTATCTAGAATGTTCCACGGTTAAGATTAAATCTATCTACTTCAAGGGAGACAACTAAAGGCTACATCATGCGTCAGATCTGTGGAGAGGCAATCTTATTTGCAGAGAGAATTATTGTATTTTAGAACACTAGAAACATTCGTAATGACTAAATGATAAGTTAATGAGTTTAATTATAAGTTTAATGTCATACCATGGAACTTTCCAGGAAAAATCAATAACATCTCCGTGGAGACAATCAGGTGATGGACCCCTCACCAGAAAAGTTGCGCAATGCACATAAAACACTGTGCATAAAGAAAGAGTCGTTAGCTAGTGCTATATTTCTTTGTGCTTTTTGTTGTTTCACAATCTCTTGTACTCACTGCAGACTCACTCTCTTCAAATCACCATATTTGCACTCACATAATCTTAGTTTTATAGTGGTGTGAAATTGCCTGGCGTTTAGCAAATGTAGATGTAAGTAATAAATCTTTGTTTTGCCAACTTGGTAACAACTGTTGTGCTGTTTCTCATTTACATACAAAATGGCAATGTTCATATAATGGAAAAACTCAGTCAAAATGACCCTTTTTAAACTTGTGGACGTGACTGGTCAGCGTTATTTCAAATGATAAAAGCTGCAGATGCTGTGAACAGCTTGGTGCTCTGGTCGTATACTCTCCTACTTCAGCCTTGATTACACTCGGGGGACGCCCAACAGGAAGTCCAGCCAAGGATTTTTTTTTTTTTTTTTTTTTTAGTTTTAGTTTTTAGGAAGAATGCACAGTCAAACCTCACCGGAACTCAGTGGTGTTATAGGAGGTCCACAAACACGCCTAAGACTCTTATCTCTTCCTCTTAGCAAATTAAAGTCAAACAAACATATCCTTTTACTGTTTTTATTTTACTTTTTACCTTAGTCTTACATTTAGGTCAAGTAACAGTTCGAATAACAGGAATTTAAGAGACCAAAGTAATGTGCTTGAAAATGGGATGAAAATATTTGAGCCAGTCTGTGTACTTCCCAATAGCATAGTTCCTTCCTGGAGTTTCCTGGTAAAATCTAGGTCACGGTGTCTGGACTTCCAACCATTTAAAGTCTTTATTTATCTTTTGTCCCTCTTCCCCGTGCAATAATTCAAAGGTCTGACGCATACGCAGTAGACCACAGAGTACTATCAAATTAACTCACTAGCAGCAATCATGATCCATTACCTCCTTTAATTCACTGGCATCTTTTTTAATTATGGAAATGCGAACCTTGCAACTGGAGGCGGTGCTGATATTTATTCTGCCGAAGAGATTATTTTAGCATTTTTGGTCTCTTCTCCTGAATTAACTAACATGAAATATACACCCCAAATCTCTCTCCTCTGTATTTAAATTTAAATATGGAAATAAATACAAGAACACAAACACTGTCGCATGGGGACATAAAGGATGCATTCACACTTTGTTTGGTCCTAGTTTGAGATCATTAGACCTGACTTGGTTTAGACATGCTCTAGTCCTGGTTTAGTCTGGGTCAAGTCCTAGTTTAGTCCTGTTTTAGTCTTGGCTCAGTCTTGGTCTAGTTCTGGTTTAGTCCTTGTTTAGGCTGTTTCTAGTCCTAATTTAGTCCTGGTTTAGTCTGGTTTTAGTCCTAGTTTAGTCCTGGTTTAGTCTGGTTTTAGTCCTAGTTTAGTCCTGGTTTAGTCATAGTTTAGTCCTGGTCAAGTCCTAGTTTAGTCCTGATTTATTCCTCATCTGGTCTAGTCCAATCTAGTCCTAGTGTTGCAGTGTGAATTTGAATGCACCCATATTTGAACACAGTTTTAGATCACTTTTATCAACACTGTCTTTTCAAAAAGCAAAACATTTGTAAAATGGACCTCAAGTACTCTTCACTTCCTGGTCCCAGTGTCCAGAGGCATCATGGGTAATTTACAAATGAGTGTCTGTGAGGAGGTTGGTCTATGTGGAGGAGGTCTGTGTGATGCTGCGCTGGCTGTTGGTGCTCTTGATGACAAAGGTAGAGGAGTTGCTCTTATGGCTGGAGCTGAAGTCACGATCACAGTGGTACTGGGAGGACTTGAAGTAGCGTTGGGAGCAGCAGGGGAAGCTCTGCCTCAGGTCCTGGAACAAGTGCCCCGCGAAGCACATGTAGATCCAGGGGTTACAGCAGCTGTTCAGACTGGCCAGCAGCATGGAAATAATGAATGGCATTGCTATGGGCACAGAGAACAGCACAGTTAGTGGCACTGTCAGGAGCAGGTGGACACTTACACTCAATTCAGTGACATTTTCTGAAAAGAATGACTTCAAAGAGTAGTTTGTAGATTTTGTCCACATTCTATTGGACATTTATTGTTTTTTTAAAGGCCATATTATGCTCTTTTCAGATCTGTTATAATGTTTCGTCATCACAAAAATCCCTTTGACACACAAACCCTGCATATTTAGACTGAGTTCTTCTCTTAAACAGAAAACACTCTCTTCTTCCTTGTCATGTCATGTGGTAATACAAGAAGCACTCCACCGTGTTCATACACTCTGTACACCTTCTCTACAATCATTAGGATAATTTCAGTTCAATTCCAGTTGCCAGTCTCTAGTAGACAAAAGGTTTATGACATCACAAGGTGGAACAGAGCATTTTGGGCTTTGGAGATGTAAACAGGCTAATAATAAAGGGTTGCTCAAACATGTGTGAATGAAACAAAACACAACTCCACATATGTTTTTGATGAGGAAACAGCAATCTAACATGGCTTCAATGTCACTGAAGTCAATTTTAGGACCTTTAAAGAAATAGTTAAACACATAAGCCACTAATTTTATGGTTATGAATTGGCTGCACTGCTTTCTTGCTAAATTAATCCGATGTTTTAAAGGTCTTTCAACTGACACTAATCACATCAGATGCTGAACTTTGTGCCTGTTTTGTTTCATGTGTAAAATAACAGTAATTATAGATATATTAACATAAAGCAGAGAAACCAATTGCCTTGCAGCTTAAATTCAAATTAAACTATAGAAATTCAAGTACGTTGTGAAGTCATGTGAACTCAATCTATTCAGCCATTTATTTATTTTATTTTAAGAATGAAAAGCTGAAAGGTAAACACATTTGGAGATTAGATAAACGGGAGCCACAATTACAGATTTTTGAGCAAAGTTGCAAATAGAAAAACAGCAGGTGTCAGTCATTTTGAATACAATTTTGTAGAAGCACCATATTCACATTTATTAACAACAACAAAAAGACAACACTGAAGTTTTTTCATAACAACCTATTGTATTTTTTGTAGCCATTTTTTCAAGAAAATGACAAACACAACAATACGGGACAGTTCTTTGAATATTCACTTCAGAAATATTTAAATACATTTGCAACCATATTCTCACAAGCCATGGGGAATATAGCTATTTATTTTACCAGTCCCAAGCCTGGATAAATGAATGCTTTGCAAAAAGGCTTGTGTTGGTGCCACCTTCTCATTGTAGTTAAGCCATATAATACAGAAATGCTATTCTACATATAAAATAGAGAAGTCAACAAAACTACAGTGAACAGTGATTTGCAGGAACGTCTGAAAGAAAAAGGAGGAAGAGAAATAACAGTATGAGCTGCACAGAGAGGTTAAATCCTTTAGAAACAGCAAGCAAATCTTCAAAGGTAAAACTGTGTTTGAGTTTTGCACAGTTGGTTTGGAATAGCCTATGCCTGTACGTGTTAATTGTCATTTTTCATTTTGTGAATTAATTTGAGCACAGAGAATTTGGCACAGTTCCTAAGAGCTTCATCCATTTTCAGGCTTATTCAAGTTATTACGTCTCATACTTGCTCAGCTAACAAAACATCACTCAATGGATTGTGTGTGGATTTCTTCCACTTATAAGCTTATAATTACTGTGGAGGTGTCACTCTAATGGTGATAATCAGTGACAGGATGCCCGCGCTGGCATCCCGACTGACATTTGCATAGAGGCAGCTCCATGTGCCAGATGACATTTGTAAATGAATCTTTAGCTTCCTGTAATTGCTTGTGTCCCATATTATCTCTCGTGCTTTTGGTCTGTTTTCGGACCAGTCTGTGTGAAGGACCTCAAGCTGTTCTTGGGTAATGACATAGACGGAAACTGATCCACAAATTGCAGGCCGGGAAGGGTACTAAAGTCCTTCACATAGGAGGTATCGATCATATTGGCCCTGCAGTGTTTGATGCTTGGGTTTTGAGCATGTAGTTAAATGAAGGAAGATTGGATAATTTGTGTTCTGTGGTGTTGTTACTTATTGTTTCCATTTATTTTATTGGCTTTGTTCTGATAAATGGGGTATGAGAAGGATAGCAAAGACATAGGATGATTTGTTAGCTTTGTTAGTTTAATGCCTGAAAATGATGTCAATAAAAGCATCTTTGCAAAGTGCGACATTACATTATATTTAAGGTGTGTCACTTTTCTAATGCAGGGTTCGCCACCTGCTAGTCTTCATGGAGATGTTACTGCTTCATTTAGAATGTTCCAAGGTAGAGATTAAACCTATCTATATCAAGGGAGACAACTGTAGGCTACATTACTGGTCAGATCCGTGGAGAGGCAACTGTATTCAAGGAGAGAATTACTGTATTTTTGAGTAAAAGTAGCACCTGCAATGAATAAATGCTAGATAGATGGCATACTATGGAACATTCCATGCAAAGCAATAACATCTCCATGGAGACAAGCAGGTGATGGACACTCCACCAGAAAAGTTGCACACTGCACCTTTAAACTAATTAAATAATGACTATGAACTTGCAGTCATTTTGGCCAAACCTGCTTCCCTCAAAATAATTTGAATGCAGAACATTTTCATTAATTTGTCTTGCTTTTACTGGATTGAGTTGATTTCGGTTTTACATCTAAATTTTTAAAGTTCTTTCAAGTCATTTATGGCTAGTTAAGATCTTTTGGTTTATTCATGAAATTGTTTTACTTCTCCGGCACTGACAGATAGTTTTGCATAAAATAAAATGAACGTACTAAAACAGAGATGAAAAAATATCTTAAAATCAAGATAAATATATTTGAAATTAACTGATGTTAACTTAACTGCAGATACTGTGTTACATACCACATAATCTTTGAGCTTGTTTATTATATGAATGCACCGTGTTGATAAATGCACAGAGCCAACATTGTATGCCACATAAAAAAGGGGAAAATAATAATGAAATACATAAAAATGTCCTCCCTAAAAGCCCACAGAACAATACATATATTGTTTTGACAAGGACAAAGTAGGGAGGCAGCTGAAGATAAAAATCGCAGTCTGTCACTTTCAAATTCATTCTTCGCTCCAAAAGAACTTTTAACCAAACCACGATATCGCCAAGATCGAAGATCAAGGAAAAGAGCCAAGCAGAATTCTGAATTAATAAATCAATGCCTATTTTAATATGCAAAACGGTCTTATTAGAAACTATGCATGAGTGCACTTAGTTTTTAGTGGCACTGCAAGACTTTTCAATCAGTGCAGCCAAGCGGGAAACTGAAACACAATCAAACGACAAGAGAGCAATATTAATAAAAGCTCTATGAATTCTCTCAGTATCTTTCATCCACACATTATCAACCAAACTTCAAAGTCATTATCTCCTGGGTTCAGCTCATCAATCTGCTCAACCAAAGGCTGTTCAAGCATTTAAGTTTGCATACATCTGTGTGGACGGAGTGCTACTGGACTGACATGCTCATCCTGACTATTTTAAGAGTCTTTTGTGACTCGACAGTAGAAGAAGTCTTTGTTTTATTGGGCAGGAAACTTTCGTTGTGCAATGTATGAGTCAGCAGAGCCACTGCAGTCTGAGCTCTGACTTTTTGAAAACCTTCAGGTGGATCTCTCCTGCATTAGATATGAAAAGTCAGTCTGACCAGCTCAACAAGAATCAGACGACATTTTCAAAATTACATGGATGTGAGGCTAAAAATGAGCAAATGAGCAGCCACACATTGGCAATAATAGAGGCGATATTAGAACACCAAAAGGTCAGTGGTTCATTCATTCAGATGTATTTCTCTATGCTCTTTCTGTCCAATTCATATATACGTTACATTGATTTCATATTTTTCTTCAGTATGTCTGCCCTTTGCTTGCAATGCAAAAAACAGAACCATAGATGTTACAAAGTACAGACTAACCCAGACTGATTTTTGTGCAGTAAATTGCATATTAATTTGGCATCTAGGTGTTATGCCAGAATCCAATTCCAAAACCACTGAGCATATGGAGATTATATTTGAGTTCAAGTTACTAAGTTAAAATGATTTATAGCTTGTCGGTATATTGCCTAATCTGTATTTGAGGCCTCTTGACTAAATATTTGTTCTGGGCTTGTACATGGAGATAATTGCCTGTACTGGGTGGGCTAATATCCCACTAGATGTGAAGCCACATGGAAACTCTTCCACATCAACAGGCAACAGCTTATTAGCCTTCCTGACACCAGTCCTGTTTGGTTACATACCACATAGTGCAGGACTGTATGTGCCATTATACATTATAGTTGCAATCATCGTCTCTCTCCTCTGCTGCTTGGCTCCTCTCGTCTGAGTAAATCTAATGGACACTCTCGCACAGCACAGGTGATGCACAGCGTGTCATTAGTACACAAACGTTTGACTCACGTAGAGAAGACACTACCCCCTCCCATCACCCCTCTCACTGTAAGAAGCCCAGAAAAAGACCATCTCCAGTAACCGTCTGCATCAGAACAAGCAAAGAATACAAACAGTGTGACAAAGCCTGTTTCCAAGTCTATATTTTTCAACCTCTGTTTATGTAATCATTTGTTTTGACAGGTCGGCAAACCCATAGGCTACACATAGCTGTGTATAAATACTTATATACATTATCAACTTTGGTCTCTTTAGGTAATTTAGTTATTGTTGTAAATCCAACTTTGACAGCATATAAGCAAACGACACTCGTGACATCACATCAGATTATGCCAGTGGGCGTGGTCAGATCGATGGAGCGAGTACACACTGCAATAGCCCCCAGGTGGTGGCTCATTGTGGTTAAATGTCAACGAGGTGCGCGACGTGCCCTGAAGTCACAAATGAGCTGCTTGCTTGGCGCGCGCTGGTGCAGTAATTTGATTAATGATTAGCCGTCACCCGTACAAGCACAGCAGGTAGGCCTACTGAAACAACATCCCTCAGACTTGCGGTGAGTTCTGACTCTACATGCTCTGTCTGGTCCTAAATTTGGTCCTAAATTAAATGGACTGAACTCAACAACCCACTGGAAACAGAGTGGGATTTTTAGTTCCTTTTGGTTCTTTTGAGGTTATAACTGAATTCGAAACATAAGGCCACCCGCCTAATGGCATATAAAACGAAACATAGCAAAACAGAAAACATCTTAATCTGATCTGAGTTCCCAATAGCAGCCGTGCGTACCCTGTGCGTAAAAGTCTCCAATGGCTGGTGCGCACAGCTCACACAGCGAAGAAGAGGACTGTTAGAGTGCTAAGGAGCATATATATGGCATTAACTCAAGAAATGATATTATTTGAATTGCTGGGAAAGTACTAAACTGTTTGTGCCACTGTGCATATAGCGCAACTGTAAAAAAATAATAATAATAAAAAATAAAATAAAATAATAATAATAAAAATACCTTCTCTGGGCGCAGCGGGGTCCCACGCAGACCACATTTGGACAGAGAAGAAGGGGGTCCAACACACGATGTACGCCAACACTATTACGAACGTCATCTTCACAGTGGTGATCTTGGCTTTGGAGATGAGTCGGACACTGCTCACGCGCGCAAGTGTGTTGCCCTTGGAGGTCTTGGGTGTGAGACTGATACACTGTTCGCGCCTTGTTTTCAGCTTAAAATTTTGCCAGATTTTGAAGCTGATGAGTCCATAACACAGACTTAGGATGGCCACGGGGATGATGTAGATGGTCAGACTGATCCATGTGATGTACGCTTTGGCGCCCCATGGCTTCACAAAGTCCCCCCAGCAGTCATAAACCCCGGAGCCGGGGGTGCCCACTTCTCGGAGGGAGAAGATGAACATTTGGGGTACGCTGAAGACCAGGCTCATGACCCACGAGCAGATGACATAGATGCGGTCCTTGCCGCGGTGCAGAGAGCGCAGGGGCTGACAGATGGCCAGGCAGCGGTCAATGGACATAAGCACGAGCATGTATGTGGAGGCGAACATCCCGACCACCTGCAGGTACTTGACCAGCCGGCAGACAAGGTCTGGCCCATAGAAGCGGAACGTGATATCCCAAATAAGCTGCGGCAGGACCTGGAACACGGCAACCACCAGATCTGCGATGCTCAGGTGCTTCATGAAGTAGTACATGCGCGACTGGCTGTGCTTGGCACTGTGGATAGCCAGCAAAACGCACAGGTTACCAGCAAGCGCAAGGAACAGAACCAGCGCGAGCACCGTCACCTCCACTTTGGCCACCTCCTCGTTTCTTTTCAGAGGGTTCGTTTGGTTTAAGGAACCGGTACCGTTAGACAAAGAAGAGTTTCGCCATGTTTCATTTATCTGCCACAGTTCGCTGTCATTGTAAAGACTTTCCATCGCTCCGGTTATTTCCTCTCCTGCGCGCGCCACGGATGAAAACTCATGCAGATGTGGCAGAAGTCACCTGCAGCATCGACAGACTCAAATGTATATTACAAAGTTTCCTTGAAAACATCTTAGCCATCCATGGTTTTCAAAGCTTTGAGGGACACTGTGGACATTTGTGAACAATGTCAGTCAGTGTTAAAAAAGTGTTAAAAATTAAAACCGAAGTACTAACAGAACATTTACAATGTCTAAAAAAATACAGTGGTTCATGGTGGTTGCAAGTAACTGAATACCTATATTTAAAAGTCAAAATATTCCCTTTTCAAGAAGAGCATCTATCTGGGTCCCTCTCCAGTCGTGGTGAGAGTAGAAATGGCCAGCAGCAGCGGAGCGCACGAGGCAGTTATACTGCATTTGTCCCTGATTCAGTGAGTCTTCAGCACCACGAGGTGGCCACGCAGCACCAACGTGCCTTTCTCGTCACTTCACAACACACAAGCAGATCACGAGCGCTACAAAAAGTCGCAAGAGTACGTGTCGTTTTCATCCCATAACAACAAACAGATGCGTTGCGTGAGATAACTTTCAAGTCCATGGGTGCAGCATAGTGACATCACAGAGCAGCACCCTTGGGTGGTATCATCGTAGAGGAGACCTGGTGGGCTACACCGTATAGATGCAGAGGACCTGTGGAGGAATTGTTCCTGATACCTCCGCTGTGCGTCACGCTGCTTTGTAGCTCAAAGGAACGACTTGGACCACAAGTTATTTGTCAGAAGTTTTGGGGAATACTTGTCCGTGACATCGGGGAAAACCGCACAACATTGGTGCTAAGGTGCCGTTAAAAGGACAAGAAAACAGCATGTTGACAGTTGAAATAATACTTTACAGTGGTGTGTCATAGTGCGGTATTGTTCATGTGTGACATTCCTCTAAATCTCATGAACAAACTTCTTTTGCACAACTGTTTTTGCACTTCATTGTCATAATGTCTAACTGGACATAAGAAAATATGAACTCAGAAAATAAATTAAGTAATAGCCAGTTACTGTCTAGGTTTTATATGCTGGATTTAATGGCATTATTGCAATTTAAGTAGCCCATTACTACACTATTAGTACATAGGAAAGGCTAATCAATTTCCAACTGGGTCCTGATGCAATTGTAGGAAAATGCTGGTTACATTATGGTCTGAGATTTTGTGGTGGTTGATGAGACGGTCAGCTTCTGTTTAGCTCTTAATTTCCCCAAAACATACAAATGCAAAGTAAGCGGGAAACCCCAGAGCGCTTTCTCTAATTTTGTAGTTGTTGGCATTTGGAAAGAACGAACACGTCCCTTGGAGCGGAGCAGAGGATTTATCAGAAATGGAAATTAAATGCATCACAAAATTATAAGAAATATGATCAGAGAAACTTTCAAACAGACATTTTTGTCCTGTCATATTAATAGACACCACTAACCACAACATCTGACAAAATGAAAGGGACTATTAAGTCAAAGCATTTCAGCTGTTCTGCGAATTAGTGGATGAAGGAATAAAATGTGCTTAAAGGAACTGTATAACGCCTGTACCCTTACTACATTCATAGCTAAGCTGCCAGTCCTTAAACCTGCAGCTAGAGTACATAAAACATATATATATAGGATATATAGGGTTAGGGTTTATATATATATATATATATATATATATATATATATATAGCGTTCACATATTTGACACTGGATTTAACCTTTTGTTTGGGAAAAACAAAAATGTCCCATGGTTTGTTTTGACATAGAAGGTATATTTTTAGAAAAAATATTCTGAGTTATCTTCCAAAATATATCTTCTACAGAGACAGATATAAATGACAAAAATCGTCTCCAGATATGACCTCACTGTCTGCATTAGGGCCACACTTCTTAAAACTCACACTTAGAAGTTACATGTTTTTGTAAATTATTTAGAAAGTTTCACAGATACAACCTGACGTGGTAAATGTATTTGATCTTTTGAGAGCATGACTTCATCCTCTGACACTTCATATTGTGAAACTGAAAATGCATAGCAGGCTCCAAGTGTGCATATTACCTTACACCATTATGGGTCGCCTTCCTGTCTAGTGTCCTCCAGGCTGCAATCCCAAACTCCATATCGAAACAAGTTGGCATGCTCAGGACTGTCCCACTAGAAATATCCCACTAAATGTAAGACACAAACACTGACTGAATTTGAAGCCATGAATAGTGTATTGTAGATCAACGAGTAATGCAACAACGTCTTAGCAGAGTTGTTGGCAATGAAATGACACATAAACAGATGCTAAGGATTTATAAATGTTTATAATATTTCCTCATTTCAAAATAAGCCCTCATGTACAGTATAGATTGCCAGTAATAATGAATCTCAAAAATGTGGATTTGCCTCATCTGTGTAAAATGGGGCTCCTCAAATTAACAATAATACTAGAGTTATGTTTGTTTAGCTACTTTACATGTTTCATCTACTTCCTGTAGTCTTCCTCAGAAGTGCCTTGTGATGGAGTAATGATGTGACCTCTAGGCTGCTTGAAAGGGTTTTGGGCGCCTTCTCCTGGATGCATCCCGTGTGTAATAAGGTGTATGCTCCCTCATCATGATTCATCCTTCTTGCACCTGGTTTGTGGATCTTGGTGGCCTCTCTGATCCAGCTCTGGTATTTGTTGCTTTTGGCATGGACAATCCTGGCATTGTTCCAGTCCATAATATGGTTTTGTCTCTTGCAGTAGTCAGATATGTCTGATTTCAGATTTTCCTGCTTGTTCTTTTACTGCTCTTGTTTGTCTGTTAGCTGTTTCCTTTTCTTCCACTCTTTTTGATGCTCTTTTGTCCATGTTCCAAATTATCTTTCTGTCCCCCCCCCCCCCACAGGTTTTGGAGCATGATAGACATGGCATCTCATAAACAAACTCTTCTGTCTGATTAAAAGAATTGCTAATTCTAAGTTTATAACTGAAGATAGAATAAAATTTTACCAAAGACTGGAGTTACTTGATAGATCTAGTTAAGGCTATCTAAGTTTCTTTAAAATTAGAGGCATTATTTATTCATTCTCTTGATGGTGATACAAATCTGTTCTGCCGTGGGGCAATTTAATGGGAACATGACAGTGATTGTGATTATTCAGCCTTCATTATGCGTCACAGAAAGGTGAGTTTGGCCACAAATTACAATAGCAACATGAGTAGGTTTGTTATAAAATGACCCTCATGGGCCACTGTTAGGCTGAATAGTTCAAAAGTTCTCCCAAAAGACTCAGAGCTCTTTCTTGTGTGGTTTTTTTATTCCATTGGGATAGATGACTAGGTTGCTCTTCAACACTTCTTAAAGATGTGTGTGTGTGTGTGTTTTGTTTTTTTTTTTTTTTTCCCCAGCAGTCTCAGTTATTGGAATTTGGACACTCAAAACGTTCCCAGTCTTCAGTGACATCACTGCGTCTGGTGCAGAATGCATGCTGACCCAGCACACTGTTTGTACAAGCCACATGATATAGAGAGCTTTAAACAGTACTTTATGGTGTAACATATCACCATGTTACAACACCCTGGTCTCATTTGCCAATTCCATTCTTCTCTTCTTGTGGCTTGAGGTCAATACCATAATAATAAACTTTAGAGCTGACTTAAGAAGAGGCTGTAGTTAATTTGTGAAACACTACAAAGTCATTAGAATCAGTATGCTGGCACTGATGCAGGTTAGTGTGCTGACGTCCAGTGAAAGGGCAGAGTGCGTTACTGCCCGGATCAAAGGATGGAAACACGCAAACGTTGAGGCTTACAGAGATTTAAGTGATGAGGAGAGAGAAGGCCAACTTTCCCCACTGCCACGAAAAAAGGCAAATTAAGACGACAACTCAAAGAGAAGCCCTTGTGGTGAAAGGCTCCGTGTCATGGAAATGGGGTGGAAGTGAGAGCGATTAGATGTGGAAAAGTGGTGCTCCTGGGTTCCTCTGATATTAATGTTGTTGAAGGAGGAGATGCACGGGAAATATGTAGATGGATTCAACTGTGCCAGCCCCTGTCACAATGATGAAGAGGCGTCAGTCTCGTTAAGTCTCAGTACATGTACCAGAACATCCCTGACGTCCCTGGTTCAACTCAATCCATCACATGTCCCACTGCTCTGTGCTGCTGTAGCACATAAAAAGAGAGACCTCCACTTATACATATGGCCGTGTAGGCAAACACACAGCATGGAAAGCACCATTAATAAGAAATGTTTACTTGCCGTATACAGCTTAATAACATCTGTCCAGGCTGAAATATTTTCTTATTTGTTATTTCTTGGTATTTATGGAGTCAATACAAGGCCATTGTTTGCCATCCTATGATTCTTGTGAGTTAAAGGCAAGTATGGAACTTTCTGCATGTGACACATCACCTGCGTGAGTCCAAGGAAATAGAAACTTAAAACCACATTTTGGAACATTCTTCAAGGAGATAGGTTGGATGCCATATATATGATTATAGTCAAAGAAACTATATTTCCTTAGAATCAAGAACTATAAGAGGCCCTCCTCTAGTCCAAGTAAGAGTCGTTTGTGGATCCAAGCCCAGTCAGAGTAAGAAAAGGAAGTTTTCAGTGCATTAAACACAACTAAAATGGAAAAAAGCTAGTAAGTTATGTACTGTTGCTTTACAGTAGAAAAAGCCTCTAAAGGTGCACTTGTCATCAAAACATTTTTTTCAGACCCTGAACTGCAGAATATTGCATAAAGAAAGGCAGAGGTAGAATCTATAAAACGTTTGAAAATCAATATGAAATTTCTTGTAAACTCTGAGATTGATGTGTGAAATCTCAAGAGAAAATAAATAATTGCATCATTAAAAACCTGAAAATGCCCAGCCACACTGTATTAGTGTTGTGGTGTAAAGACAAATAAAACAAAGCAAATGCAAGCAAAACTTTCTGGCAGTGATTATTAAAGTGAATATGACAGCATTTCATAATTGTCTTATTATGTCTTGGTTCGGTGGGATACCTTTGGTACACTATATATATATATATATATATATATATATATATATATATATATATATATATATATATATAGAGAGAGAGAGAGAGAGAGAAATTTCAAAAAAAGTTCCATCCAAACTGCAGGGATACTTTAATAATTTAAACACAAGGAACACTTTTTTTCTCACAGTTTAAACCTTCATTTAACAAAGTAAAATCATTTTCATTTAAGTCTAATCATAACTATTGTACAATTTAAACAAGTTCTGACCCTTATTTAATGATGTGCTTGCTAGGTAACTCTTATGGAATTTCTCCTTTGTATGTCATGTCTGCATCCCAAAAACTAGAAAAAACTAAACATTTTTAGCAAAATGTGAAATGAGTAGTCCAATCTGCCATATGCATTGTTCATAAGAACTTGAAAAAGTACTTGTTGTTGCCACCAGTGACAGGTCTGGAAACTCCATGTCAAGCTTCTCTTGATAAATGTGTTCATTAAAAACCAACACTGCGTCAACACAACATTTCCACTTCCTACAAAAGAGTGAGCATTACGTTAAGACAGCTCTAGGTGTTCTCAATAATGTTTTCCCCTCTCTGCTCGACCTCTGCAGAATGAATGACCAGAATACATGTGGAGTGGGGTCATGTAGAGCACACAAACCATCTCCAGCTATGTCAGTGTTCCCCATAGATCCTGATCTTGGTATTGACTGATGAAATTAGATGTGAGGTGAGCCCCGAGGCCCAGATG